TGTGTCCCGTGCTAAATGCTGAGGCACTGATGGTCTCATTTCTCATACCCTGAGGACAAGGCATTATGAAGCCCCCTCTATTGATAGAGAAGCACAGAAAGGGTGATAACTTTCCTAGGTTCACACAGCTACTCAGGAACAGACCCGCAGGTCTGGATTCAGACCCTAAACTCCTGACAGCTAGTCCCTGGCTCATCCCAATCAGAAAACTGCTGGGTCTGGGGTTGACTCTGGCTTTACAAGAGGAGTCAGAAATGAGGCCAGGCTCCACTTCATGTCAGGAGAGACTTTAAAAAAAAAAAAGGCAAGTTTGGGCTGCAAGCTCCCAGGGTCCCCTCAAGTCCCAGCTGATCTGGCAAGTTCAAAGTCAGTGCTGTCACCTGCATGCCAGGCCCTTGCTGGAATTCCAAGACAAGGGTAGGCTCTGAAGGTCAGGCTGTGAAATGGATGCCTACCTTTTCCATAGGCCAAGAAACAGAAACCAAATCCTATTTTTCAAACAAGAAGTTCAAATGATTCATTCTCTTGTCTCAGGCATGTTTAAAAGTTACTGCTCTAAGTGAATCCGGAAAGAGACGACTACCCTTTCAGACTGCAGAGCAAGCTAAGACTTGAGCACATGTCCAAGCGAGCACTCCTTCAGCTGCAGGGACAAGGGCTCCTTCGTCTTCCTTTCAGTATTCAACTTCTGAAAATTTAGGGGCCCTGTGATTTTCTTGGTTTCAGAATGAGTCACCCATCACACTGAGGCAGAACAAATTTCTTTGCAAATCGGGGATAGGAGTGGAAGGTCCAGGGGAGCACATTCATTTCACACAACATCCTTGTCTGGACTTAAATGTGGAGGAGGTGTGAATTTTGGGTGATGCATTTACAGAAAAAAAAAAAGCACACATATTGATGCCATATTCAAATCAGGTCATGGCAAAATTGTGACTTGCAACCACATGCCTTTTTACTCCTGTGCTTTAAGCCACCCTTTAAAGTAAAGATTTCACCACTAACATGGGGATGGCAGGGTCTGCAGGGGGAAACTGGTGTCAGCATCTCTTTATTGAAGAGTCACCTGTGCCCATCTGTTACAACCAGGCTGTCAATAAGCCCCTAGACCAGGGGTGGGCAAACTTTTTGACTCGAGGGCCACAATGGGTTCTTAAACTGGACCGGAGGGCCGGCACAAAAGCATGGATGGAGTGTTTGTGTGAACTAATATAAATTCAAAGTAAACATCATTACATAAAAGGGTATGGTCTTTTTTTTTTTTTAGTTTTATTCATTTCAAACGGGCTGGATCCGGCCCGCGGGCCGTAGTTTGCCCACGGCTGCCCTAGACCCAGAGACAATGCAAGACGTTTGCTACAGAAGAGATCATTTGGAGGGGAAAGCCACCTATCCACCTCAGAACAGGAAGGGAGAAGATAGCCCTCAGGGGATGAGGATACTGAATACCGTGGCTTTCTAGGGGAGGGCCCGCTGTTTGTGCTCGCCCAGCATCTAACCCCCTTCTTCTGATGAACACTCCTCATTTTTACTGAGGGAGCCACTGTAGGGAGACACGTGACCCAGGCCTGGCCAATCAGCACAGAACATCCCTTTCCACTGGTGGGCAAGCCAGGCCCGTCAGCACCAACAGGCATCAGCCCCCAGGATTCAGCTGCAGCCAGTGGGAAGAAGCAGCTCCCTCTCCACTTGGTGGTAAGTTGGCAGGATGTGAGCCTGGTGCTGCCAATGGTCATCTTTGCACTTGGGTCCAGCCATGCCTGGTCTCCCAATTACATAAACATAATCACCCCTTTTGCTTAAGCCAACCAGAGTTGAATTTCTAAATCTTGCAAACTCAAGAATACCAACATATCCTCATTTAAAAAGTTGTCCCCCTGGCCAATGTTGCTCTGTGGTTAGAGCACTGGCCCGCGCACCAAAGGGTCACAGGTTCACTCCCCGCCACTGGTCGGGGCGCGTGCAAGAGGCAACCAGTCGATGTGTCTCTTTCATATCAATGTTTCTCTCTTTCTCTCTCTCTCTCTCTCTCTCTCCCTCCCCCTCCCTTCCACTCTCTCTGAAGAGCAATGGAGAAAATATCCTTTGGTGAGGATTAACAACAACACAAAAATTGTCACATGAATCATATTTTCTATACTCATAATTTCCAGAAAGAAAGAAAGGCCTCAAGCTTGAGAAGACCATCCAAGGCCCACAGCAAACCTATAAGTCTGCAAGTCAGGTCTCCCATCTCCCAGGCACCTCCCCCATCTACTGTCCTCTGGCTTGAAACTGAATTAGGACATGTGCCTGATGCCCTTCCAAGTCACAGGAATTAACAGCTGTGTGGTTTCATTCAAACACAAACACAGTCGAGGGAAGAGAACACCCACCAGCCGCACCTTCAAATATGAGAATAACTAAGAGATCAAGTATGTGGTTCAAATGCCCCAGAATACAAATCCTGCTGTCCAACAGGTGTCTGTTTGGTGGACGGGCCTGTGGAAATCGTATTTATTTATGGTGAGCTGGATGCACAGTCAAGAAAATAAAAAGAAAAAAAAAAAAGAAGAAGGTACCAAAATGCTGAGGGATCACTGAGAGCCAAACAAAACCTCTGGAGAAATTCCTGGGCCCTGTCTGGCACAACCTGGCCAAGTGATTGCCTGGAAAATAGGTTTTTGGAAACTGGTGAGCATTCTCCCCTTACCCGCTGCACAGGGCAGGTGGGCTCAGGGTGCAGGAGTCCTTAACTCAGCGCAACAGCAAGCTGGAACTGCAGCCTGCAGAGCCAGTGAAGCCCTGTGCATGAGGATGGGGCCGCTAGGCTGACTCACTTGGCTGTGTGCTTGAGGCCAACACTGCCCTGTCCACACCACGTTTAGTCACAGCCCAGGCCTGGTTAGAGAGCAGCCCTTAAAAGGACTGGAATGAAAGAGGGTAGCATCTTTCCAAAACAAAATTGACGAGAACACAAAGTACAAAATGGGGTAAAGTCATCCCTTGCCCCCTGATGTGGCGACAGGACAGCTAAATCTAGCGCTTAAGCTGACAATTTGCTCCCGAGTTGTTGTTTTTTAAAAATCGGAATGATCCAAATAAACAAACAAGTATGGCTTCCCTTGTGTTTGCCCCTCCCCCATGCCTCTTCTCTAAAGCGATATATGTTGGTAAAGATTTTCCGAGCCAAATGAGAATTTCTAAACCAAAATGCTTACTACACACTTTGAACAGAAATAAAAGCATACTGGAACTCTAAGCCTTAAAAAGAGGGCCAGGTGGCACCAGAGAGATGTTTTGGAGATACTTATCGAAATGTGATCGTGGCATTCACTGAGAGCTGCCAAGAAAATCAGAATGGGGCCAGTGGTGTGGGGGCGGGGGCGGGTTTTGGCTGCATAATTGTAGCAAACTTCCCCAAACAATTGAGTTCCCAGTCACTGATTTACTGAGCCACTCTGTTTCCCAGCTTCAGACGCCTGGGACTAGGGGCTCACATAGTCCAGGCAGATGGGCCGAAGAGAGCTGGCTTCGGAGCAGCCACTGCTAGCCCAGGACCTCACACCCCCAGCAGACCACAGCCGAGAGCCAAAGAGAGCCAAAGAGAGCCCGTGCCTGTCCTAGGGGGTGTGGTGGGAATTCAGTTCTAGCAACCAGAGCCCCCAGCCCACTTCCACCCCATCACCTTTTTCACCCAGAATGTTCAGGGCTGTGGCCAGGGACCCCATCTGTGTGGCTGTGTGCCCGGCCCATGACACAAGGAACTGGACAGTTTAAAGTTGCTTAATCCCAGAGCAGACCATGCTCTCCATATTAAGAAGGTCTTAACATCTATAAGAGGGAGGTGAAAAATAAAACAGAATCATTCCTGACAAAGGCAAAAAAGAGGACTGAACTATTCTGCTTATTTAGCCCATAGGGAGCAAACACAAGTGTACCTCACTCTAAACACATGGAACTTTAAAAAAACTTAAAGCAAGAATCCAAGGGATTATATTTCATTATTTGATTACAAGAAACAAATCTTCTTAAAAGCATGTAAGTTCATTAAACACTCCCCACTTTTCTTCCTGCAGTGCAAGGAAGAATGACTTCTGTCAAAAATAATAATCCAGGTTATCATGAATAATAAGAACAGCAATAATGATAAAAATGATGATGATAACAACAGTAGTAATAATAGTAGTAGCAGCAAATATTTATGACACAGGCCAAACACTGTTCTGTGCATGTTACATACATGTATTAACACATTTAATTCTTGTAGAAAAAGTAAATGCTATTTGTTACCTTCTTTTTACGGATGGGGAAACTGAAATACAGATTAAGGGTACAGAACCCTGCCCAGTCAGTGTGGCTCAGTTGGTTGAGTGTCATTCCATGCACCAAGAAGTCGTCAGTCCAATTCCCGATCAGGGCATGTGCCTGGGTTGCAGGCTCAATCCCCAGTAGGGGGCATGTAAGAGGCAGCAGATCAATATTTCTCTCTCATTGATGTTTCTATCTCTCTCTCCCTCTCCCTTCTTCTCTCCCTAAAAATCAATAAAATGTAAAAAAAAAAAAAGAACCCTGCTCCAGGTTACCCACCCAGTGAGGGCAGGCCTTATACCAGATCTACCTTCAACTGGCGGGGTTGTTTAGAGCAGCGATTTTTAACTGGAGTGCTGCAAGAATTTTTAAAACATGCAATACCTGACTAATCAGGGGCACTGACCTCTTTCCCCTTAGATTGTCAAGTAAAAAAATAACAACAGCCAACACAACAAATAGCTGTCTAGTGTTCAAATATTACACTTTTTTTTGTCAGATGGGCAAAATATATATTTTGGTGTGCTGTAGAATTTTAGTAATTAGTTTATGTGTACCATGAGATGAAAACGGTTGAAAATCACTGGTTTAGAGTGAGGTACGCTGGTGTCAGGAATGAAGAGAAGCACCCACTGACACAGGGGGGACCAGACACAAATGACAGCCTGGCTCGCAGTGGGCAGCAGGGCAGCGTTCACGGGCGCACTCACCTTCATTCTCCCCACTCGTCTTGATGCCTTTTGAACCACCCTCTGTACCTTTAGCCTTCTCGGCGTCATCTTGGGCATCCTCGGTGGGCCCTTTCTCCTCGTCTTCTTCCTCCCCGACGTTTTTGTAGTTGGGTCTCTTTTGCACCCGCCGCTTGCCCTTGTGCTTGTTCATTTCAAGGGACCGCTCGAGTGTTTCGGTGGGTTTAATAAAGCACCGAATGCTGGGCTTGGCCTAGAGAAGTAGAACCGAGATAACAGACGGATTTGAACCTTTGCATCTCACTGGAACCTATCAAGCTGTCTGAGAGTTTCTGCCCCAAGAAATTCATTTCCAAAGCAACAAATGCTACCTCCTAGTTGTTATTATGACTATTATTAACATCATCATTATTAAGTAATCAACACAATAACACCAGCTAGCATTCACTGCCCACGGTGCTAAGTCAGAACCTGCACTTCACCAACACCATCTCCAGTGTTCCCAAAGTCAGTCATTTGCATTCAAAACTGTGAACACTTGATGGCATTTTGTACGTGCCAGATGTGTTCTAAGGGCTCTGACGATGTTTCCTCATTTAAACTTTACAACCCCGAGAGGCAGTACTAGTGTTATCCTCATTTTACAGATAAGGAATCTGAGGGCCAGAGATGTTAACTGACCACCCAAGGTTGCACAGCCAGGAGGAGGAAAAAATGGAATTCAAACCCACATGCCACCTGCACAATTTGTCTTAACTACAGCACATTGTTATTGTTATTAACTCTTATTTAAATAAATTTGTTTTAAAAGAAACTGTGTATCCCTAAAGGAAATGGAACACCAGTGTACCTGCTATTATAAAAATAACAGAAAAGAAAAGCAAGGTAACTGAATGAGCCAAACGTTGGCTTTCTTTAGAAGGGGAGCAGGTATCAGCAAGGCATTAAAGCTCATACCCAAAGGAAGTTTAGCCCAAAGAACTTTTCCCTAGAAAGTCAGAAGGCTTCTAAGAGAAATGAAGGCCTGTTGTGGCACCACTGGTTCATGTCCCATATTCTGGAAAACATGGCTTATCTCAGTCCTTATAACAACCAGGAGATATAGGGATTATCAGTCCCACTTTATAGATGAGAAAATAGAGGCTCAGAAGTGTTTAGTGACTTGCCCAATGTCACACAGCTACTGAGCAGAAGAGTCAGAATTTTAATAGAAGCTTGCCCAATCCCAACCCCCAAGCTCTTCCTAAAATAACAGTGCTTCACCAGGAGCTCACACTCCGTTCCATTTAGTACTCTCTAAAAAGTATTTACCTGCAAATGGACCAGGACTAGAAAGGGGCAAAGTCAAAAGAAAACAGCCTGATTTGTTTGGGGCAGGGTTCTCATGGAAGTCTTTTTCTCTTTCCAGGGTCTGGATGATGTTCAGACATCATTCTGTCATTTAAAAAGGGAAAAGTTTTCAAGTAAACTTTCCCATTATCTTGATATGGTTTATCCATCTTCTGAATTTACCCCAAACAACGACCAGCTGTATTCTGGGGGCCACTGTATCTTGCCAATAAGTAGAATGTACTCAAGGAACACAAATTAATTTCAATAACACTCAAAACAAAACGTAATTGAAAGCTAAATTAGCATCCAAATACAAACATTAATTTTTATTTACCCACTTAGGATTATTCATCCACAAAAATGACAAATCAATTGAGACATGATTCTAGTGTCCAGGAAATGCAGATAGCGAATTACAGACACCACCCACCAAGAGCCCAGGGCATTCAGAGTGAGTGTGCACCGCTTGACAGACAGCATCCATCAGAGCCCACGTGGGATGCCAAGTGATCAAATGTAGCCCCAGATGTCCCCCATCCTCTCATAAAGGACCTGAACCCAGTAAGTTAGGGCCCTGAGATGAAGTGACAGCTTCCTCTGATCACAGCTTACTCCCTGTGAAAGCTAGAGCATGCCATACACAACCAAAGCTTTCAGAAACAGAAAACCAAGACCAAACACGGAGCAAAACACCACCCAGTTAGAAGTTCTGAGCAGAAATTCACAAAGGTGGATGAAGAAAACTCGCCCTGAGCTGTGTGGATGCAGATGCACAGAACAATGGACAGAACTAAGGGAAGTAAGACGGCGCACAAAGCCCAGGGCTGGTCCAAGCTGTGTAAACTGTAGCTGAACTCCACCTTGGCTATGGGGCCTCTCTGACCTTCAGGTTCCTGGTCTAAAACATCAGGAAAGTAATTCTTACTTAAAATTACTAAATGAAATCATGGACAGAAAGTTCCTTTCAGAGCCTGTCAATACAGTAAGCATTCAACATAAGAATGGTAAGTTACCTTCCTTTCCCTGCCTACATTAAAAAAAATCAACTATGAAAATGAATTTTAAAACTTTCCAAAGGGATCTGCTTTTCTCGGTGATCTGGGAGTGGAAGAGGGAAGGCATGCTTGCTGGGGAAATTTCAAACCTTTAGGATGTAACCTACCTAGTAAGCTGCTGGAAATAACCTAAATGTCCATCAATGGGGAGTGGTTAGGTAATTACGGTCTGCCCATAGCGTGATGGACTGATACAGAAACAGCACTGGGATGAAAAAGCAAGAAGAAGGGACACAGTGGGGCCCGTTTCAGGTAAAGGCTCCAGTTGGAAACACAATTTTTCTTGGAAAGCTGCATTAAGAATATGAAAATATTAAGATTTCATCTTTGAGGAAAGAAGGAGGCGGTACTGTGTGTGCTCAGTCACACAAGTGCACTTACATTTTTCATTTCTGTACCTTTCCATTAGGTTTGAAATTTCTAATCATGCATGCATATTAACTTTTGAAAAAATTCAATAAGGATCATCTGGATATTGGAATTATTTTCCCTCTTTCTCTTCTATATTTTAAAAAGTCTGATTTTTTTGCCCTAGCTAGTTTGGCTCAGTGGATAAGGTGTCGTCCTATGGACTGAAGGGTCCCGGATTCAATTCTAGTCAAGGGCTCGATCCCCAGTAGGGGGCGTGCAGGAAGCAGCTGATCAATGATTCTCTCTCATAATTAATGTTTCTATCTTTCCCTCTCCCTTCCTCTCTGAAATCAATAAAAATATTTTTTAAAAATAAAAAAATTTTAAAACCTGATTTTTTCCCCCCTTAGTATTAACAACATCAAAACCTGGCTGTGAAACAGGCAGAGATTCGAGATCATTCCTGCTGCTCTATTCAAGACTTTGTGGCTGCCAGCCTCCCAGGAATCTCTTTGTTACCCTGGATAATTCCCAATGTTACAGATGGAAAGCCCTCAGGGGCGGGGTCCTGGTCCAGCCCACTCCCACTGAGCTCTCAAGACTAAACTAGGTGCCTGGAACAGGGCAGGGCCTCGATGGGATGGGCTGTTGAGTGAATTCATGGCTGCCTGTACTATACTATATCCAAAGTGCAGGAGAGAACAAAAAAAGAAGGGAGGAAGGAAAGAAAAAAGTTGCCCAACACCTTCAGGAGCTGAACTTCCCACAGAGGAAAAGCAGGTGTGATGAAACTAACCAAAAGTGGCAAAGCCCACTTATCAGTAAAAAATCAGGCAGCTTGGGATTTTCTTCGCATAAAGAAAGCACACCACACGTTCCTCAGAGAAGAGTGTTCTGAAATAAGGTCTCTTTCCCAGAGGCCGCAGGTGGGGTTTCACTAAGGCTCACCTCCTAGGGACCAGGAGCCTGAGCTGTGGGAGGAGCGTTGAGATCCTGGGCCCTGCTTACTGACCACAGATTGGGCCAGTGCCCAACTGGGGGGTGCAGGAGGGAAGCCTTGGGTTCTGGCTGGCCTTTAGGCTGGTTTCTGGGGTCAGGGCCAGCTGAAGGCCAACAATGTGATTTCAGGGGTGGCCTAAGGGCTAACCTGCTCCCTGAAGTGTCTGCCCCTGCCTGCTGGTTAATGATGCCTTCCACCAGCCTTCATCCACCCAACCTAAGGCTTTGGTCCTTGCTTAAAAGTTGAATACTTGAGGTGACTTCCCAGAGGTCGGAGATAACTAAGGCCTTTTAGGTGCTGCAGGATCTGAGAGCAGGTCCTGCAGGGGCAGCAAGAGGGGTCAGGAGCAAGGAGTCAGGAGGAAGGATGGAAGCACGCAAGGCCCGGGTGTCTGAGTGAATAAGGAGAGGCAGCACAGCTGATGCCCAGATGTCAAACAGAACGTCCTCCACAAGGTCTGGGTCTGCTCCCTATAAGGCATTTTTGCATTCAGGATCTCATTTCAGCCCCATGGCAACATGTAATGGAGTTGCTCTGACTGCACGTGATAAAGCTAGTTACAATCAGTCAATCAAGGATTCTAAACAAAATTATAGATGTAAAACATGTACATATATCTCATGTTTTCCTGTGTGGATAGATATCTGCAAGACATTACACCAAGCAAGGTCTAGAAGGATATAAAAACTGAAAATAGCGGTTCCTTCTGAGGATGATACTAATGTTGGGGGAACTTTCACTTTCTACTCTAGTTGCTTCTGTTTCATTCAGTTGTTTTACCCCAAGAAAGTATGACCAGTGCCATTTAAATGTAAAGAATATCTTGAAGGCATGCACCTAAATGCCACTGAACTGAATACTTAAAAATGGTTAATCCATCGTAAGTGGTATTTGTTATATGTATTTCACCACAATTTTTTAAAATGCCTTTACAATAAAGGCACCTCTGAAAATTAGAATGGTGATTAGCTGGGGGAGGGGAGTGTTGGTTACAGACCGAGAAGGAGCTGCATCGATGACAGAAGTATTTCCTAGCTTGACCTGAATTACACACAAATGTGATCATATTACAAGGCCATCAAGCAGTACACATGAGATACTCACTTTTATTTACATTATCCCTCAATTAAAACAACATTTACCTAAAGGATTTTCAAAATTTTAAAAAAAAATATATTTATTGATATTTTACAGAGAGGAAGGGAGAGGGATAGAGAGTCAGAAACATCAATGAGAGAGAAACATCGATCAGCTGCCTCCTGCACACCCCCTACTGGGGATGTGCCCGCAACCAAGGTACATGCCCTTGACTGGAATCGAACCTGGGACCTTTCAGTCCGCAGGCTGACGCTCTATCCACTGAGCCAAACCGGTTAGGGCTACCTAAAGGATTTTCAATGAAGTCAGATTGTCGTAATGCCCTAATACAGTGGTCGGCAAACTGCGGCTCACGAGCCACATGCGGCTCTTTGGCCCCTTGAGTGTGGCCACGAAGTTTCAATCGCACTGTACGTG